ATATATATATATATATATTTATACACATATAATTATATGCAAACACATACACACACATACGTATATATATATACATTTTTTAATTACATATAACTTAAAAAAAATCTATAAGTACAATTTTTCCAAATAATCTGAATTACATCTCTACTCGCTAAAATATCAAGAGTATTTCTGAAAGTACGACGAAATATTAATGATTTATTCGTGTGACTTTATTTAAATTTAAATTTTTACAAATTATTAGCTTTCATAACTGGCACAATCAATAAAGGAGGTAGAAACACAATTATATAGGGCTGTGTATTGGATATAATTAATATATTATTACATATTGGTACCTACGATAATATTCTTGAACGTTAACATAATTCATGTAAGATATAGGAACATATTAAAAAATAACAAGTCATTTCAATGGCATGTGTGATGTTTACACAACGAATGGAGGAGTTAAAAGAAAAAGTTTTGGAAATATGGACCACGATAATACAACAAAACACATCTAACATGTCCAATACTAATACAGCCCTATACGTTTATACAAGTATATAAATACGAACGAACCGTCGTCATACGCGTTGATTAAAATATTATTTTGTTTATGTTATACATCATCGTGTCATTATTATAAAATATTATTAAAAATCATGTGAAATAACAATAATATTCAAAATAACGTTTTGATTTGATGGTCACACAAATAAAATAAAACAATAATAACGAAGTATTGTGAATTCTTTTGCGGGGGGAGAGTTTGTTTTTTAAATATTTAATTTAATTTTTAGTGGCAAACAAACAACATTTATACTTCATGAATTACACACAAACATGATTAAGAACTAATTAAAACAATTGCGATAAGTCTTTGAGGTACGCAAAGGGATTCTATATAAAGATTCTCGAAATGGTAATAAAATAATATTAATAATAGCAATAACATTATCATTTTGAACGAATTTTACGGTCAAGTATAAGTAGGTAAGTCCCGAATGGCGAGCGTCCGGCTCGACCGTCTCATGTATTATTTTTTTTTTTGTTTTTGTTTTTGTTTATTTGCCTACAATAATCCCAGATTATAACACGTCATAATTATCCGTCAAATACATTCACAATACACTTACGAATATAATA